AAAACACTCATGCCCTCAAAATCGCAAGATGGTCACACAATCAAACATGGGAATGAATCGTAACACTGAAAAGACAAAAACGGAAGGAAGGAGCCAGTTAAGTAGAAAGCTGAAGAGGTGGGTGAGGAAGATTGAAACATAGAAAATAGGATCAAGGAGTAGAGCTCTGTCATTCAATGAGATTGTCCAACTCAGTTCCCTGTGTGTGAAGAACTATATGTAATACCACCCATGAGGGGCAGTCTTGGTGCACTGGTCATAACACAAACTAGCAATTGCGTGCACCAGGGTGACAGACCACAGGGTGAGTTCAAATTCTCCCTTCCCTCGGGGAGCAGCGAGGGAACAGTCATCCAGTCTCAGTGAGATCTGGGCTCGATGTTGGATCTAGGAGATGGTGTCCATTGAACCCATCAACCCCACCTTCAGAAGAGTCCTGCCTGGAATATCTGCCGGATCTTAGCCCTTCCGGATCCCATTGCCACCAATTCTCCAGTGAGCAATCTGCCCAGTCCATGGACACATGGCTCAGAACTTGATAGCAATGCCCAAGAAAGGATTGGGGGAGTGGTGAACAAGATGGTGGGGTGGACCGAAAATTGAAACAGTGAATTCCAGTGAAACTTTGCACATCACAACAGCAGTGGTGCTATTCCAAGAGAATGCCAATACCCTTGCTTTTCCCACCCCTGTCCATCCCTGGGAATTAATGTAACTCCCCTCAAATGCCTGGACGGGTGCTACTTGAGAGAAAGAGATTGACTTATCTAAGACCGACATGACTCACCCGATATTCTCACGAGAATGCTGTTACTGTAGGCTGTTGTTTGTGTCGATGTGGAAGTTTGGCATCTGTACTCCCCATCATGCTCTTTTCCAGCAGCCTCAATGGTGTAAATCTTCCCCCTGAACTCTTTGGTAATGTTGTTTATGATCCACTTATATCTCACCGAACGAAGTTCTCGACTGGCATCACAGCTAAGAACGATCCGGTCGCCCGTTAAGAATCTCTCCCACATTGGCTCCATCGTGAGCATGGGTGTTCCAGTCTCTGCTGAGGAACCTAATGCACAGGAAAACAAAAAAGCACAAAGGGAAGAACTGAAATTGTCTTGCTGCAGTAGAACGGTTAGCTTGCTGCTCCAACAACTCAAGCAGTCCACGTTCAAGATCTGGACAATATCCAGACTTAGGCTGTTGAGTGGCAAGTAAAATTTGCACCACACAAATGCCAGGCAATGACCAAATCCAAGAAGAGAGAATCTAACCATCACCCCTAACATTCAATGGTGTTATCATCCCTGAATCCCCCACTGTCAACATTCTGGGAGTTGCTATTGAGAGAGAATCTAACCATCATCCCCATAATGTTCACTGACACCTCCCTCCACTATCAACATCCTGGTGGTTACAATTGAGAGAGAAGCTATCCATCACTCATCGATATTCAATGGTGTTACCATCACTGAATCACCCACTATCAACATCCTTGGGGTTAATATTGAGAGAGAATCTAATAATTGGTCCTTGACCTTCAATGGTATTACCATCACTCAGTCCCCCTACTATCAATATCCTGGGGGTTACCATTGACCAAAAACTGAACTAAGTTCGCCATGTAAATACATCAGCTACAAGAGCAGATCAGAGGCTGGGAATCCTGCAAGAAGTAACTCACCTCCACCACCATCGACATGGCACAAGGGACAGTCAACATAGTTTTGTGCATGGAAAATCATGTCTCACTAACTCGACTGAATTTTTTGCAGAAGTGACAAGAAAGATTGAAGGCAGAGCAGTGGACATTGTCTAAATGGACTTCACCAAGGCATTCGACAAGGTTCCACATGGTAGACTGGTTAACAAGGTCAGACCACATGGAATACATGGAGAGCTAGCCAACTGTACACAAAATTGGCTCGAAGATATGAGACAGAGGGTGGTGGAGGGTTGCTTTTCAGACATAAGGCCTGTGATCAGCACTGCGCTGCAAGGATCAGTGCTGAGTCCACTGCTTTTCATCAATTACATAAATGACGTGCATGTGAATATAGGAAGCATTGTTACTAAGTTTACAGACAACACTAAACTTGGTGGTAAAATGGACAGCGAATAAGTGTATCTCAGAGTACAATGGAATCTTGCCTGGGCTGAGGAGTGCAGACGGAGTTCAATTTAAATAAATGTGATGTGTTGCTTTTCGTAAAGCAAATTAGGGCAGGACTTATAGACTTGATGGTAGTGTCCCAGGGAGTGCTGCTGAACAAAGTGAGCTTGGAGTGCAGGTTCATAGTTCATTGAAAGTGACATTGCAGATGGAGAAAGAAATGAAGAAGGTATTTGGTATGTTTACCTTTATTGGTCAGTGCATTGAGTATAGGTCATGTTGCGGCTGTACAGGAGATTGGTTAGGTCACTTGTGGAATACTGCAAAGGAAAGATGTAAAGAAAGTTGAAAAGGTTGAGAAAAGATTACAAGGATGTTACCAGAGTTGAAGGGTGTGAGCTGCAGGGGGAGGTTGAATAGGCTGGAGCTATTTTCCCTGGAGTGTTGAAGGCTGTGGGGTGACCTTTCTGAGGCTTATAAAATCATGAGAGGCATGGATCGGGTGAATAGCCAAGGTCTTTTCCCCAATGTATGGGAGTCCAAAACTAGACGGCATAGATTTAAGGTGACAAGGAAAAGATTTAAAAAGGACCTGAGGGCAACTTTTTCACACGGAGGGTGGTGAATGTATGGAATGAGCTGCCAGAGGAGGTGGTGGAGGCTGGTATAATTACAACATTTAAAATACATCTCATAGGTACGTGAATGGGAAGGGTTAAGAGGGTCATGGGCCAAATACAGCGAATTGGGACTGGATTAATTTTGGACATCTGGTCGGCATGGATGAGTTGGTCCGAAGGGTCTGTTTCCATGCTGTGCATTTCTATGACTCTATAACTGTGAGTCAGGAGTGTGATGGACTCGAAACGTTAACTCTGATTTTCTCTCTCCCTCTCTCTCCACAGATGCTGTCAGACCTGCTGTGTTTCTCCAGCACTCTCGGTGTTATTTCAGATCTCCTGCATCCACAATACGTTGTTATTCATTATGTAAAAATTGCCTTGAGTACTGACACCGTGGATTTCATCAATATGTCATGTGGTGGAGCCAAACTGGGACTCAACATACCTTCACGTATTTGTAGAATTATCATTTGCCCTGAAAATACACAATTAGATAAAATTGATAAGTTTTGTGGGTTTTATGACAACAAAGAGAAAACAATTCAGTGGTTTTACTTTTGAAAATTGGTCTGCCTAAAAGTCATGCTCGAAAATGCACCTATGTATTTGTCCTGCATCCTGAAATGTTTATTAACAAAGTCTGGAGATGTCTTTCCCATCGTCCAAAAGAAACGCGATTGGGAAGTAGATTCAGGGCTGAGCTGGAGAGATTTTCAGTCAGGAAGGGACTCAAGGGTCAGAGGGAAAAGTGGAGTTGAGGATGATCAGATCAGACACGATCTCATGGAATAGTGGAGCAGAGTCGATGGGGTGAATGGCCAACTGCTGATCAAATGCTTTAACATGATAGCTCTTATTTTCATTTGTTCAGCGGTGATGCATAATAAGGCTCACTTGTTGACGTCATGTGTGTGACAACGTGAGAGCAAAAGTTCGTGTGTGTGCGCACATGAGAAAAATAGTGTGGGTGTGTGCGTGAGCAAAAGTGTGTGAGAGAGAGAATGTGCATGTGTGTGAGCGAGGGAGAGAATGTGGGTGTGTGTGCGCGAGAGAGTGTGTGAGCGAGAGAGAGAGAGTGAGAGATAGACAGGAGTCTGTGTGTATGTATCTGAGAGAGAGAGGATGTTTTGTGTGTGAGAGGAAGGTTTGCATGTGTGAGACAGAAGTCTGTATTTGTGTGTGTATGACAGAGGAATCTGTGTGTCTGAGAGAGTCTGTGTGCGTGTGTGTGGACATGCACGCAGAAAAGACAGGAATCTCTGTGCGCGCGCGGGAGCATGTGTGTGTGCAGGAGCATGTGTGTGTGTGCGTGAGAGAGAGAGAGGGGTCTGTTTGAGAGAGAGGTTCTGTGCCTTTGTGTTTATGTATGTGAGAGAGAGGAGTCTGTGTGTGTGTGAGAAGTGTGTGAGTGTTTGTGTGTGGGAGAGAGAGGAGTCTGTGTGTGTTTGTGTGTGTGACAGAGAAGGAGCGAGAGAGAGAGGTATCTGTGTGTATGTGAGAGGAGCCGATGTGTTTGTGTGTATGCACGTGAGAGTAGAATCTGTGTATGTGAGAAAGAGATGTGTGCTTTGTGTGTGTGAAAGAGCATAGGCATGCATGTATATGTATGTAGGTGTGAGAGAGAGATAGAGAGACTGTGTGTATTTATGAGAGAGAGTGTGGACATGTGTGTGTGAAAGGGGCAGAAACTGACAGAGATGGAAGGGATACAGATCAAGGAAAGCAGAGAGTGAGGAAGGGAGAGAGAGAGAAAGAGAGTGAGACAGAGACAGAAGAGGGCTAAAGAAAGAGAGAGAAGGAGGGAGCGTTGTGGAGGGAGAGGGAGAGAGAGAGACAGAGGGAAAGAAAAATAGAAAGGAGGATAGAGAGAGGGGGAGAAAGGGAGAGGGAGGCAGAGGGAGAGTGAGTGAGAGATGGAATAGAGAAATGGGAGAACAAGACAGAAGATAGAGAAGGAAGGAGAGTCTGAGAGGGAGGGACAGCGTGCGAGAGACATGGAGAAAGGGTGGTGAGACAGAGAGAAATAGAACAAAAGGGACAGGATGAGGGAAGTAGAGTGTCAGGAAAGGGAAGGAAGAGAGAGGGGGTAGGGTAGAGAGAGCATAACAAAGAATGACAGTGAGAGAGAAAGAGAGGGAGGGA